TCTCCCTCCACTTCGACCTATCAGCACCATACACATGCTGGTATGCGCTTCACAACAGATGCGTATCGCACTAGCCGACTCCAGTGCCTTCTATCTGGGACTGGGGAGCCATCCTTAAAAAGAAGGCGGAATAATCTATTAGCCTCTTATGTTGCTAGTGTCAGGATTCTTTAACTATCCTTGTCGCCGAATAATTATCGATCCTAAATATGAGACCTCGGATATTCTTCGAACATCGGTACCTCACCCCCAGGTATTAGATTGCGAAATCTTTTGTGGCCGTTCGTCGGTCTTCCCACATGTGAAACCCCAACGAGACCTCATTTCCCCTTGGAAACTCTTCCGCCCCAATATTGACCTCAGACTCTATCTTCCGAAACAAACTATTCGTTTTCTTGCAGTTTCAGAAAATAAAGGAAACCTATCCGGATCGTATATTCTTGTACACAGATGGTTCATCATACAATGACTCATTGGCATGTAGTGTTTATTGCATTAGGATCACCGAATCATATCGGCTTTATTCCCAGAGTAGTGTATTCACTGCTAAAATGTATGCAATTTGCGAAGCCTCAAAGTACATGGAGTCAGCGACGTTGTGGCGGGTAGTTCTCTGCTCCGATTCTCTCATCTCTTCAAGCTGTCTCCAGTTTTTCCTCACACAGACGGAACCAGGCAGTGAAATTGGCGGCGCGGAAGACTCATATTGACATTCACTCTGTACCATCTACCAATGTTAAGGCTTTTTTGAAACGATCCCTACTTAGAGCGTGGCAAAGTGGCACAACACCTCTTGTATCTTAAGTGTGATAAAGGATTGTTAAGCCCTGACGTTCCTCATCCCGTTCTAGGCGTGATGAATTTCGAAGTTCTGCGACTCGTGCAGGACGGTTCTTTCTGTGGAATATGGCCTGGGCAACTCCTTACGGGATGTGCTCGGCGATGACGATATATTTCGTGGCCCCTTTACAGCCAATTCTATGATTGCTTTAAATATAGCGTGTTCGTTTCGTCTTGACCTTTTGTTGTCTACTTGTATATTTTATGTAGAATTCAAGCTCTCTTTTTAGATTATGTACACGCTTTTAATCAGCGGGTAAGTTGCGTGTGCAACATTCCTTTTATCCAGTCTATTTAAATTAAAAAAACAAACAAACAACTTTGACACAGGAGCCAATGACCTCAGTAGTTAAAGTGGCCTCCTAAACCTTAACCAATTGACTATGGGCAGGGCCAACGATAACAGGTTTGATGTTACATCCGAGAATTTCATGTCTGCTGGGCCGTATGGAGTTGGACGATGCCGTGGCGAAGTCCTCTCGTGACGGTATCAATGTTAGATTATCCCGCCGAGTAAGGCCTCAAATGTCACCTTCCCCCGTCAGGCTGCGCGGTACGGCAATCTGTACTGTACATGTTTTTTTTCGTACGGTAGTGTATCACGTCCAAAATTGAATTCATTCCGAGTAAATTTGGCACTTGGTCAGTTAATTTAAGGTGGCAAATATGATTTTGCCGTATTCTGCCAAATTATGGTTGTTCAGTGCGAGATCCTTTCCGGAGGTGTTGCAATAATTAGTCTGCTCTCAGTGGAGTGAAGTTTGAGAGGAGCTTCGGCGAAGCAAAGGCCAAAGAAGGCACCTCGGCGGATAAGACTTGAGTTGAGATTGGGTAGAGAGCGCGTGAGCCGGGAGATGGAAAGAAGTTCTCTTCGTGTTCTTAGACGCGCGGTTTGCTTGTCCTGTATCCCCCTACCCTTTTCAGGTGCGTCGTTGTTCGATCACGTGTGTGCCGACTGTCGTATTATTGGCTATGTTCGCATGTTTCAGAAAGCTGGTGGTTCGTTTATTGGTCAAGGCAATCCCTACTCTGATGACCTATTTCTTTCAGGGTTATAATTGGGTGTTATTGTTGATACTCGGCTGTCGAGGGGGAGTTAGGGAAACGTCTTCTGTCTGTTACTACTGCGAACGAGATATTACGCGTCCCAGGCGCGGATCTACGGGGAGGGAAATGAGGGAAATCCCCACCAAAAAAACGTCAGTAAGTATTAATTTTTAAACGTCACAAAACTTTCAAGTAAAAATATTTTCTGATAATCATTCTTCTTCTGAGCCGTTTGGTTGACCTTACTGCGACTAACTTTTTATCCCACTCTTCTCTATTGTTCCACAGCCCAGGAGGTACCTGCCGTCCAGCCATTACTTCTGTACGTTGTCTACTGCGACCGGTCTCTTTTCGGTCTTTCTTGTGGTTGCCAATACAGAAGTTCTTTGGAAGTCTATTGTTCTTCAACCTCTGCACGTGTCCATATCATAAGTTTACTTTCAATTATGCAGTATATCCTGCTTCAAACCCATAATCTCTTTAATTCTTGCATTACGTATTTTCTCTCTTCTTGAGATGCTAGCGGATTTTCTAAGAAAGTCCATTTCATGACCCGCAACTTTGTTCTCATTTGTTCTTAGAGTTGCCATATCTCAGCACCACGTAGTACAACACTTTGGATTATTACTCTACATATCTAGTTTTGTTCTTTTACTTATGGTTTTGTCTCATAGGATAGAATGCAGGGAACAGATGAGTTTTCTGCCTTGTTTAATTCGTTCCAAAACCTCTGTCTCATAAAGTCCCTGCTTCCCAATTTTTACCCGCTAAATATTTTATTTCTTCAGTTTTCATATTTTTTTCCTATTCCCATAGTTATGAATTCATTATTACTAGTTAATGCCCAGTACATTGTTTTACTTATGTTGAGTGTCAGTCCCCACTTTGCGTACTCATCTCTAATCTTTATCAACGTAAATTCTCTATCATCTTGGTCATGCGCCACGATTACCCGGTCATCAGCAAACTATAAAGTGTAGAAAGTAGAGTACAGGATAATCATGAAAACGAATAAAATCTTATCGTTGCATGCTGAGGCTGCGAAATATTGCTTAGATAAATTGGGAGAGAATTATCAGAAACTGCAACGAACATGGCCTTTTCTGTCGAAACTTTTCATCAGACGAGAGTGTTATGGAAAAGAAACTATATATATTGACAAAGATTGTTACTTTGCAGAAATAATCAATGAGTATTGAAGAGATTGTCATGATTTTCTCTGTCCAGACGAAATTGAACGTTTTACTGCACGTTAAACTGCAGAAAGGTGCTGGGAATTGCCTGGCAGCGCCCCGAATCGACTTTGAATGCGCCCAATACATTTCACTTAGCTTCTGTGCACGAAACTGCTCGTGGCTTTCTGATATTCATGACAATCGAGCCCGCTGCGTCTCTGTGGAAAGAGCTGAATTCCGAGAAATCTGACAATGTGCACGTGTTTCGTTGCGGCTGCCCAGGAGTTGATGCGATCTTTTGGTGACGTTCCGAACTAACAGGAAGCAGTTGACAATCGACATCAAAGAACTTTGTATGAAAGAAATGAGTATATGGTCAACTGGGAAGGAATTCGCGGCTTTTTTTTAGCCAAATTAGATTATATCCTGAGCCTGAAGTTTCAAATATTTTTTCTTCTGAAAGGCCTTCAAAGAGTAATGAAATTGAGCTGTTGAAGCCTAGCGCCAAATTTCAACTAATTTGGCGGTCAATGTGCCAACACTGCATGAGTGTCGCCTGCGACATTTACAAAATCTGTAATGGCAGATTCGACCAAAACACTTTTAATTTCATTTTCTATCCAGTTTAATTTCTGGATCCCCCTACGCGTTCTGAGGGATTGAGTTATCCTTATCTGGCATTCTACAGTGCCGAAGAAGTCAGTCACAGAGAATAAGGGATATAGGGTCCCTTCCGACGTGGACACTGGACTTCCCACGGGGCCACCGCCGTTTGCCGTGGAAGAGAGGGTTCTGTCGTCCCGGGCTGCTCGTAGTTAGCGTCCGCTGCCGAAAGACTAAGCAGCGCGAATCCGCCGCACGTGGGAAGACCATTTAAACCAATGCTTTGCTACCAGCCGTGGTGTTCGGAAGCGCGCTGCGGTGTCTACGTGTGAAGGGGTCCGTAGGGTGGCCTTCTTTGGCTTTGATGAGCAGCGCTCAGAGGAACCCCGGAATTTCCTTTGTATCAAGCGGAAAGGGCTTTGCTAGAGAAAAGGGCGTGTCGGCTTGGCAAGTTAGCAAATGCCCGCGTGTTTTATGGCTTCCTCCACCTTCGCCCAACCAGATACTAAAAAAAGTTGTCTTAGTCATTCATATCATTATTAATTGACGCAAGGAGTCTCGAAGCCCCTGATCCAGCGAAAAGCGCTTTTTTGCAGAGTAATCCTCCATTAATATTAGTTATGTATGTCTCGTCTCGTCGTTGTTAAGAGGACCCACGGGTAGCATGTCTTAACGTACGCGCCTCTTAACAACATCGCCCCGCGTCACTATTCAGCGGCCATAATTGGGAAGAAATTGGGAGAGGTAGACTTTAGGATACTTTACAAAGGTTGGACTAGCACTTGTGAAGCAGCCAGACTAGTTTTGTTGGAACAAATTTCACATGAGCTTGTTCGGGAATCGAACCCGGAGCGACTTCGAGGCGCGTCAGCATTGTGCGCACAGCACAATACATTGCAATATGATATGCCATCAATCTGAGAAAATTGTTAAATTATTATATTGTATGACTCTAGTCTAATGACCACAAAAATTATTTTAAGATATTAATGTTGTGTTTAATTCTGAAGTAAGTCACGAACAGTAGTGGCCAAAATGTTTTGAAATTTCATTATCAGCATTTTATAATTGGTATTAAACTGTATGCAAGTTTTTAACTTATCCTATGTCTGATAAATCATGGTTTACATAGCTGTAATGAATAAAAAGCTTTATGCTTGAATGAATATTTCTGGGATATTTTTCGGTTTATGAAAACATAAGCACCACAACACTTTCTACTATTTTACAAAATAGCTTTTGTCTCTATAACTTCTTTTCTAATTTTTAATAACATAAATGTAGCTTTTAATGCTAGATGCTTTTCTGTTGATGTTACATATTTATCCTCTGTAGGAAAATGTGGATCCCCGCCGCAACCACTGGCTTTTTGAGGTACTTATGGAGGAACCTGGTCGGAATGAGTCTTCGTTTACTGAATGTGGGTGAGTGACCATGTATTATATATATTAGGAAGAATTGTTTATAAAGATTATCTTGTTGATAAAGATTTTCTCAGAGGGAATTAATTTTGGATTAACTTGTTGGAAGGCCTCTTTTGAAATAAGGAAAAAATTGTTATTGCATGGAATATTCAAACAGTTATAATCTAGTTTGGTTTTTCTAACAGCAGTGGGAAAGCAATTTCTAAAGCATTAGGAAAATAATTGCAATTTTCATGGGCTGGATAGTAGGCAACCCATTGGTGAACGCACATGTACTTTTTAAAATTAATGTAGGTTTTGTACTGAGTCCTTTTGTTTGTGTTTCAATTTGTAGGAGACTTTACTCCCTTCAAGGAGCTCTCAATCAGCAGTTGTGGAGAATGGCAGAACTTCTGAACTTATGGTTTGAGAGACTAAGACCATATTTGTCACACCCATTCCAGAATGTGAGGGAACGTATGGGAAGGTAAGAAGCATTTTACATGTGTTGGTTTTAACTGTTTTGCATACTTGAATATTTTGATTTCACTGGGGATCAAGTTATCCATATACATGCCCCTCAATGTATGTAGCGAACTCACAATGTCCATCACAGGATATGTTATGCTCTCGATAACTGTGTGTTGACAGACTTGGAAAATTATTTGTCAAAAAATTTATTATTCTCTGGAAAAGTCCAAAACAAATCAAGGACTTTTTTAATTCTAATGGAAAAATTCTTTGAAATGAATTAATCAACTGATGCCACTGTGTAGGAGAGCCTTCGATTGCGAGGTCATAGGGTTTCAATCCCAACGAAAGCAAGGTTTTCAACAGTAGTTAGATAGCTAGGTTGAATCCAGGAACTGCGTAGAGGAGAATTCTAGCAGCTGGTTACTCTGAAAGATAGTTCTCCATGGTTTCTCTGATCAACACCAGGCGATTGCCAGAGCAGGCCCCTAACAAACGTGCCATGGACCATCTGCGCCATCTTTCCTTTCTCTTCCTTGTCATATCCTCACCCCTTTATTACACACACTTTCACTTACATGCAATACACTGCCACACATATTGGAAGACCAGTCGAGAGCTTAACACTTGTCTTGGCTGGGGCGGTGCAGACTAGTTAGAGATAACTGGGTGAGGAAAATCCCACAAGATGATTTGCAGGTTGGTGCTGGATCTCACCATCCAGTTTGGGAAGTTCACTGCCACCGGCCTGATAAAAACATGCACTACACTTACGGGACTAATGACCTCAGCAGTTCGCCTGCCTGAAATCACTAGTCAAGCAATCAATCAGAGTAATTAAAATATGATTTCATATAATTTAAAAAGTGAATGGAAAATGACATTCTTGAAAATGCTAGTTGTGAGAAAATAAGTTCCAAAATTTTGTTTGTGGAATAATTTAATGTTGATCCATATCAATTTTAGCTTACTCTTGAAAAGTGCATTGAATATTTTAATATGTAGTTGAATTTATACATTTATATATTTGATTATTTATCTACCAGGGGTAACCCATCAAAACTGATGGGACAAAGTCAGGCTCCTAAATTAATAATGAATAGTAAATTACAATTTAATTTGCTTTAATACTAAATACAAATTTCCATTTCAAATTTTCTTTTATTTCCAGTAATAGACCCTCGAAGTAGGATACGTAGTAAAGTGTCTCTTATACTGCAAAAAATATTGTTTTTTGCAAATGTTGTAGGGTTCACCCTCTAAATGTTTTCCATTGGGTCTAATTTACTCAAAAATAAAATTTCATCTCAATAGGTCGATTTTAACTGCTGCCAACTTGAGCATGAAATTTCAATGTTAGGGATCATTTGTTTTGTTGTGTTAAGTTGATGGAAAACTACTGATACATATTTAATATATAATTTTATATTATAATCTAATTCATTTTCCCTCTTAAGACTGTGTTTCTCTCTTGCAATATGGGTACAATGAATGATGTTCTTGAACAACACAACAGAAATTGCTTTCGCTCCTCACATACATATAGTAATCCATGAAAATCTTTCATTAATTCAATAGGCCTTTCAGCACAGTCATTCACAGCTTTCAACTTTATAAATAACCTTTTAGCTTCTAAATATGTAGAGTTGCTTGTCCAAGAAGAAGGGACATCCTATCAACGAATTAATAATTTAGGAATGGTCATTTTGATACAATTGCGCTTACTGTATTATTTTCCATTTGATTCTCCAGATAATGGAATATATCACTCTTCTAAGTGCAGATTCTACCAGGCTAAATATGCTCCATTTTGATTTTGATTTGTACGTCTACTTCATCATCAAACAATATGATAGACAATTGTACTAATTAATTGCACATACGGTGTCTAAATTTTTTTAAAGCTGTTTTTCAAATTGTCAAAGGAATCCTTTCATGCAATTTTAAAACATTTAAAAAGTAGATATCTTGATAAGGATCTTTTGCAGCTGCACTGCGCTAAAGACATGGTTTGACATAAAGTTTCTGTCAACAGAGACATTTTGTAAGGAATTTTTAATTACACTAGATAGTTTAGGTTCTGATCTTATCTGAAATTTTATCATTTTTAAACATTATGTAGCTCTTGCCATCCATGGAGATTGATGCAACGACCCAGGAAGATGTATATTTAGTTTGTTACTTTTGTAAACGTCCAACATTTCTTTAATTGTGGACTCATTAAAGATCATTTCCACATTCTCTTTGTCACTTCTAAAATTAATGGCATTAACTATCTTAGAAACAAAATGGTAAATATTATTTAATGTTTTTTTCTTCAGGAGATGCTAGGTCGAGGTTGTACCCGCAATATCCCATCACAATGTTCTGATCACAAAACTACTTATTTGACTCAAAAAGTGTGTCACTCTACTCACAAGGAGGCCAATTTTACATAAAAAAAATAAAAACAGGTACTTTTTGTATGGCCCTATCTTAATGAATTTTCATCCAAAATATATTTCATTGGTATACAAATTAAACCTGATATCTCTACTTTAACCATCGTTCTTTGATCATGTTATCCATTTCACTGCAATCACCTAATGTTTGAGCTGCATGCAGTCAGTGCCATAGTTACTAACTTGTGTTCTAACTGCACTAGAGGCATTTTGACCAACTTTTAACTGCACACTTAGAATTCTTTATGCACTGTTAGGCTGTTAGAATATATCATCCCTGAATACAGATCACTAGAGTCTGGATTTTTATGCAATTACATATTTTTTGTCTTTTTACTTACTGTTCTAAAAATTGTAATCGTGGTGAATCATTGCTCTCCTAACTCATCTATTTTTTGTTACATATTTAGTTATATATTACATATTTTGCTATTTTCACAAAATATTTTTTGTATTCAATCAATTTTCTTGTATTTTATGACATACTTTTTATGAAAAGAAGGGTTTTTATAAAATCAGCATTTTTTCCTATATTGTTACTGCGTGCTGCGTACTTCAGGTTCTCTCGGTCATCTCCCTCTTCGCCGTCGTCATCTCCCTCTTCGCCGCCGTCATCTCCCTCTTCGCCGCCGTCATCTCCCTCTTCGTCGTCGTCATCTCCCTCTTCGTCGTCGTCTCCCTCTTCCTACTCGTGCCACAGCTAATGTGGCATGACAATTGCAGGGGAAAGCATGTAACAATAAACATCAAGCAGCTGCCTGATAATGTAATTGATTCTGTAGTCAGCAGTGAAATTGGCTATTCTGAGCTAAATTTATTAACTGATGAATAACCTCTGGGACTGAATGTTGTATTGCAAACTGACCAATTCTAAATTACATATGTAGTTATTATACTTTTGTAATTTTGCATTTGAAGGATGTCCATTCATTTGCTTTTACTCTATGAGGGTGCCAAGACATTTCCTATGATGGGAGAATGCCTTTAGCCAAAAAGGATTGAGAGCCACTGGGATATTATATGGGGGTGGTTAAAACCAATCCAATTACAAGCTGTCAGACGAGTCAAGGAGACAATTCTTGGAACATTAATCTGGGAGTCTTGTTTAGTCATATTTGTTATATGTTTTGACTGTAATGATCACTTTCAGCACTGGTTATTGAATGTGGTTAGTTTTGTTTATAAGATGTTTTTATAATTCAGTCTTGTAAATAATGAAAACCTTTTAAAATGCAAGGCAACATTCCTTTACTTGAACTTGGATATTTACCAGCATAAAATTATTGCCTTCATAGAATTCTATGTAGTAATTTATTAATTGGATTGTTGGTGAAGTAGATACCTTTTTTATTTTGATAAATAAATAGAGATACTGTCAGGTATCAATATTTTAATTCAACTAATGATCATTTCGATCGCGTAGCGATCGAAATGATCATTAGTTGAATTAAAATATTGATACCTGACAAAATCTCTATTTATTTATCGTAGAAATTTATCTTTGGGGGGAAATAAAAATCTGAATTATCTTTTATTCTGTATGAAATAAAAAGTTCTCTGAAATTTTAAAACTCTACCAGATACATTAGACAGAAATGAACTAACCTTCTCTGTAGTGAGCCAGAAGTATGAGAGCCTTTTTATTTCCAAAACCTATATATTTCTTCCTCAAGTTCCAATGCAAGTTTAAAATGTATTTTGTGTGCAAATGGGTGTTTACATCTCAAACATTTTGTTTCTTTTTGTGTGGTATTACTTTTGGTAACATGTCAATTTAGTGTATTAGCTATTTCCAAACTCTTCTTCTGATGATTTTGTTTTTTAATTTTCAGTGTTTTAAATAATATATTTGAATGTGATCTGAGATTTCCTGGGGGAAATCCTCCTCAATCACCTTTAATATCCAACTTTATTGACTACGTTATGCCACAATTGACTCTGCTGTACAGTATATGTGCTGAAGCTGTAGATAAGCCTGAAAATCTTCTTAATAAAAATGGTATGTAAATATTTGAGGTGACCATATACTGTTATAAATTAATATTTAGATGCAATCATTTTAATTAGAAATTTTTAGAAAATTTGGCAATATGCCTTGGAAAAAAGTTGTGGTACTTTATTAAAAATCCTGAAGATTTTGTAATCTTTGCACAACAATGAAGGTGTTGCCTACTTTCCAACTCAGGGGCAGATGCATCATTGGTTATTGAAAATCAAGAGATTTATAATAATAGCAGTGTACAAAATTATCTCATTTATGTGCAATTCTTTGTGTTATATGTATACTGTATATTATAGAGAAAAATGTAAGTAGGTTAATTAAGCAAACAATTCTTGTGAAAGAAAAAGCATCATCAAAAAAGGAAAATCAGTGATCATCAGATTCATGTTAAACCCTTTTTATTGAATTTTCTTTTCCCAATAGCCATAAACCATACTCTCTCGAATATAATTTCAATATAGTGTATGTTTTTAATTTTGGGGATATGTAGAAATTTAATAATGTTTTTTCTATTTTATACTGATGTTTTTAGTTGTTGGACTTGAAATTTTTATTATTTCCTTTTGCTAAATGTCAGTTGCCAGAAGTAATTTCATACACTAATACATTGATCATGAAACTTATTGAAAATAAATCCTGCTTATTATTTGAAACATTGAATTCCATCTCATTATTTGTTCTTTTTCTCTTTCCAGTAAAACTAAGTTCTTTGAATCATATTGTCAGTCTAAAAGCTGATGTTGGAGCACAAGGTGATCAAGCTAAATTAGAAGCAGTGGAAAAAGTTGAAGATCCAGCTATTAGACTTTTAAAAACAGGTATTCATTTATTTGACTGACAGAGTTATTTTTCTGTTTAGCATTGGGTATCTTTTTGAAGGTAGTATAGACCCGATATTAAAAGTAGTGGTAGTGCAGTAGCAAAGTTTTGTTTGGCTTCTCAACTTGGAATTGGAAAGGTGTAGAGGTTTGGTTTTTTTATTTGTTTATCTAATGTATACCTTTTTTTATGAAACGGGATGGTTTTAGTTTTATTTGAAATTTGATTGAATATAACATTAGTAGAGTTTGCAAGGAAAGAAGAAATGAGATAGTTAGATTTAGCATTATGAAGTAGTGTGGTGATGACATGTAGTTTAGCATTCTGGGTTTATGAAATAGTTGATAATGCATGTGCAGTGAGTGGAGATGAAAATATCATGATTGAAAGAAGTAAGTAAAGAATGAAAGAGAAGAATGCTTCTAAATTTTTCATGTCACTGCTGTTCTCTTGCTGTTAACCCATTACCTGACACCTTGAAAAACTGGCTAAAAATTGCTGATTTTGTAAGAGAGTATTTTTAACACCAAAAGAAAAGGATTTTAATTTCAATTTTATTTAAAATCTCAACTAGGAAACCAGTAAACAGATGGTGTTTTTGTGCACCACCCGGAGAGAGGTCTAGGACTATTGTAAAGCAACCGCTGGGTTGCCCTGGGGGCACACTGTGTTTTTGCACATCCCACTAAGTCTCCTAGCCATTTCTTGTCACGTGCTCTGAGGTGGAAAAGAACTAATGTCAGTCGAGTTTATGTTTGTGCCAATGTTTTCTAATTAAACTGCTTTTTTGGGTTTAGTCAGTCATCTGAGAGAAAATGCTAATTTACGTGGCAAATGTCTTCAGTAAGATGGAAAGAACAGTAATATTGCAAATTACTTTTTAAAATTATTTTTCAACAAACTGAAAGGACATTGGCACCAGAGACCTGAAGTATGTGACAAAATCAGATAATATAAAAAACAGAGTTTTGAAATTGATATGTATGCCCAAAATAATTATTATAAAAAGCATATTGAGCAGAAACCTATGACTTACTCTGTAATGCACATACAGGAGCTGTATGTCAGAATTCAAACCAATCTTCATTCACATCTTTTGCCAATAAAGTCTTTCACAAAACTGGTAAACACATTCACTATTGTGAAAACTATAAAAAAAACTTCTTCAGTTAGCTACAATGGTGCAGCATTTGTCAAATGTGTGTGCATCTATTTGTGGCAGAAACCTTTTCTAAATTGTGCATATTCTTCTTCCAGTCCTGTTAGTGCCTTGGGCCTTTCCAAAAAAAACCCTCTCTCAGACAGTAGTGCATCAGTGAACGAGTTCAGTTCACACTACATTTATGAATAAACAAATGAAAGAAATGAAAAATTGTTCATATTATTCTAAAGAAGAAAGAGTGGTTTCTTTGGTTGCAAACAACTTCTTTGTAGATGCACCTATTTGAGGCAGAAAAGCCTGAAATATCTTTTGTCCCAACAAGTCTTCTTTAGTGATTATATTTTTTTAGTGATGATTATATAGCGATATATTTTTGGCTTCACATGATAATCCACTTCTTCACATTTTTTCTGAGCATAGGAAATTAAATGAAGCAATGGTTCTTGAAGGCATTTAGTCTTGGGTATAGTAGTGCAATGAAGAAATTCATTAATTAAGTTTTAGATTAATTTCATGCTTTGTTGTTGTTGTTGTTGTTGTTGTTGTTGTTGTTGTTGTTGTTGTTGCCTTTCTTCATCTGACCAAGTGAAATGAAGAAAAACTCATTTTCTTTCACAAGAATTTGTGAAAGTCTTTTAATATTACCTGGATGGAGGAAAAAAACAAAAACAAAAAACGCTGAAGCACTGTGTAGTCTTAGTCACAACTTGTCACGAATCTTCTTTGCTTTACATTACTACTTCTTTGCTGTGCATATTTTTTTACTTACATTTATAAAACCTTTGAAATAATTAGTACCTAAATAATACATTTCTTCCAAATAATTACAATATCAAAATTTCACAAGACAAAAACTTGAAAAATTTTTCATGTGCCACACATATTGTTGTTTCTTTAATGTCCCCACATATTTTGTTGTAAAAAAAATATATCCAGTGAGTTTTACCTCAACAACAAGATCATGTACATTCTAAACTTAATCACTAATATCATTCACAAAATCAGTTGCTGTGTAAGCTGTCGTTTGGTGAAAATTGAGGTCTATTTGAGGGTTTTTAATGTTTTGGAAGGAAGTGCTAGCTCTTCAAGCAAATACTTAAGGATTAGGTCATTGGATTTTTTTAAAATTTGGATTATTATCAAAATTTAACTTAAAATTAAAAAATTAATTTTTTCCTCCTAGAAGATCCTTTCCTTTTCCATTAATTCTTTCCTATTATCTATTTCTATTTTCTTATTTCTCTTGTCTCCCTCTTCTCGTCTATTTCTTTTCCCCCTCTTTCTATGACAGATACATTTATCTTTCTTCCTCTTCAGTTCTGTTGCTCTCTTTAGTTTTCTCCTCTGGTTTTCTCTCTCCCAGTGTATTTTTCTAAAACACATGTTCTGTTTTAAATTCCTTTTGTTCTACTTATTATATAAAATTGTATCCATTATATAAAATCATAGAATTTGTGTAGATATTCTACAGAATGCAAATTAACAAAACTGATAGAAACATTTGTTGTTGAATTTGAAAGATATTCAATATTGGCAAAAAAATCAAAATTCAATCTTTTTCTGTGTTCTCTTTGTCTTCTAGAAATGAACTATAACTGTTGATTTTCCAATGTCTTTGGACTTTGCTGTTCAATATAATTTCAAATCTTGATTTTTTTCTTTTGTAAAATGTGTTGATATACATATGTGTTTTTAATGGAAATTATGAAACTCTTTCAAAAAGTAACTAACAATCTCAGGCCTCTGCTTAAATATATTTTTCGTATTTTATGGATAATCCTAAACAGGTGTGATGAAATTGCCTATGGGTGATGAAGGTGTGAAAATGTCTGAATGCGATTTTATAAAGTATGCATGGAAATATGTCTAGTATGACATTTATAGTTTTGCATGACAGTTTTGCAATTTCTCCAAAGAGCCCAAGGTACTACATGTACAGTGCCTATATACGGTGATATTAAATGGTCCCTAATATGTTGAAACAGTGTGTAAATGGATTTCTGCCAGTGTTGCACGGAGCCAATACGGAGTGTCAGCAGATTTCTACAAACTTTTGCCTCTTATCTGCCTTATGGAGAGTTATGAGTCTGATGAGGAGCTCAGTCGCAGCTGTACATGTGTCCTCCTTGCTCTTGGCCAGACCATTCACGTTCCTCACTGTGTTTCTGCAGCACTAACTGCTATCAAGAAGGTAGGATGGTTTGTTGCTATGTGTAAATGATGTGTGTGTAATGTCAACCCAGAGATAAATGCCTTTTTAACCCCCTGGATCTTTCCTACCCTCAGCATCATTTGTTTTGCATGATTGTGATGGTCAGAGGTCAGATGCATTGTACTTTGTTTTGCTTGAAATGCTAGGCAAAAACGCTATTAAAGAGAAGAAAAAAAGCTTCAAATAGACATGATGAATTTAAATTTTTTTTTTTTTAAAGAATACTTAATTGATTATATTTGAGAAATATTATTTATGTAATGTTTATACTTTTTTCAGTCTTATTGTAGACTTATAGTAGAGGAAACATTTTTCAAGGTGAAAAAGGACCATAACCATTTCACTAATCATTATACTTTTGCATAAGTCGTTATGGTCTGTTCCTGATAAGCCTGTGCTGTTTTAAATTGACTCTATGTTGTCAGAACAGTTCAGTGTACACTATGTGCCTGAAATAAAATCTGATTTGGTGAGGGAAAAAATATAAAATCCATGAACTTATCCAGTTTTCCTGTAGCAAAATTGTAGTTAGTATTATAGTATACGTAGTTACTAAATTGTAGTGTTTGTGTGAATAAAATAGTATCTGTATATAAATGTATATAGTGTAATAATTGTTTACAAATTGTAGGTAATCCTCTATATTTTGACAACTGTTTGTCTGGATTGTAGACTAATTTTTGATTGTATTTGTTTTGACTGTATAACTATATTTCAGTGTCTCTTTAGCATTCATCATAATAATTATGTATTAGTGTATATATCAAAGAGTACTATTGAGTGTAATGTACTTTTATTTGCTTTGAAGAAATAATCTGTATAGATTTAATTATTATTTAAAAATATAATTATTTTTTTATAGAAACTGGCACAATGAGGAATTTTGTGTGCAGAAGTGTGTGTATGCGTGTGCGTGTGCGGACGTGTGTGCGCGCGCGTGTGCGGACGTTTAATTTTTAAAATTAATTACTTTCACCCAAGTATTTTCAAGTATTAAAATTTCACCCAAGTATGAGGGCAGAAGTCATGGCAACATTTTTTTTTTAAAGAAATTTTATCGGATTGGACAATTTTATTTGTGTGAAAGAAATGCTGTATTAATGTTTGTTCACAACAACAAATGGCTCTGTGAGTGCCTTTCATCAGGTCTCATTACTGGATATTATCATAAAATATTCCAAAGAAGGTCTTAAAATAGGTTTTTATATGAAAATTAAATTACCTACTGTATTAAAAGTGTGTGTTTAAAAAAGTAATTGATTGAAGTGATAAATGATAGTTGTGCTTTTGAATTTGTTTGGGCTGTTTCAAATTATGGCTGAAGCGAGGTCAGAAAGTACAATATTATAATAAGTGTGTTTTATAACCATTTCCAATAATGCTAGAAAGTGTGTGCTGATTAGCTCGCATGAGTTAGAAACAATGCCAATAATTATGTGCTGTTGTAGCTCTTTTGTTTGTTTGTTTGTTTTGCCATTCAATTTCATCCAGTGTTGTGTACAATAAGTGTTGTTCTTGAACTAGAAATTCGATGATCATGCTTGGAAATTTTCTACATATTGACTATATAATTCAAACTTTTTTTCTGAGATGTTTCATAAATATTCTTCTCAGACCTCTTGTTACCAGATACTTCTTTCTATTCTAGTTTCTTGGTGCTCTCTGTTTCACCTGTATATATTATCCAATTTACTTCTTACATGTTTTCAGCGTCTCTGGCACGCTGATTGATGATACTCAATGATGTACATTGTCTAAAATGTGTGTTGATACTTGAGATGTGCACTTGTGATCTTTGTCAGGTGGTAAAAACTGCATATGTTACTGTGTTGTAAATGTATGCATGCTTCTGCCAATGAGCACAACTAATACTAACATAAATTTTTTGTTAATGGTGAAAATACATTTTGAAATTTGCTTGTACTCCAATGGTAATTTTTAAAATGCATTCCTAGTTCATAAATTGTTTTAAAAGGCTATTATAAATTGTTATATATTTTACAGGTGTCACAAAGTTCTTCTTGGCAAGCTCGAGCTACTTGTATGGAATTTCTTCAAGTGTTGGTTTTTAATAACATGCCTGTGATCTTAAGTAGTCAGAAATGGACTAGTGAAGTAAGTTTTGTTATTGACTATTTAGGGATACTCCTTGGATTTACAATGAATACCCAGGATTATGCTTTTTCCATATCAATATTGGCTTCTGTTTATTTAAGGCTTTGTTGATTAATTGTATTTTTGACACAGATGACAGAGAAGTTTATTTCAGATCAATTTATTTTTGTATTTAGTTAACATCAGGGAATAAAATAGAAGGCACAGGATTTCACAGTATTTACTTTATTAAAGTTAAATATTAATAAAAATGTTGCATGAAAAATATTTAATTGTGATATTAGTGTGTATCGACATTGTGTCAATAATGTAATAATGTCTGTTCTTTACAGGTTAATAATATTGTGTTGAGATTGATGGAAGATGATTGGTTGGATGTGAGAGTTAAATCTGCTCAAGTTCTCGGTGGTTTGCTGCACACTGGTTTTATTGAAGATAGCGCAGCTTTGCTTGTATGTGTACATTATTTTGAATACTCTAATTAACCATAAAATGTATGTTCTGTACAGGTATGGTTTACAGCCCTCTGGACTTGCAATTGCCTATTTGAAATGTGAAACTGCCGTGAATTCTTTATAACTGACAGAAAATGAAGTAAAAGATAATGCACACCTGTTTGTCACAAACATTAAAGTGATTTTTGCCTTTATTGAATGTGGAAAGGATTGTAAAATATTTGGAGTTTTGAAAGTATACAAAAAGATATCTTAACGTTCTACTAATTGAAGAACTACATGAAGTGTTTCAAAAGAATTTACCTGTGTAGAAAAGAGAAATACTTTTAAATATTAACCCTTGAGAAAGGACATGGTCTCACAGGACACAACCAGGCAAATGCAGTGGAAAACTGCATGATCTTTGCCATCTACTTCAGTACAGTATTTTCATGTCCTTAATATTGTTATGAATTAATTGAACTTTTGGAAGAGAATTAAACACACATTGTACCCATATTTCAGAATTTACTGAAAAACCTGTGCAGAATCAATCTGCAAGATGTTGCAGAACACATCCTTACATTTTCTGAATGTCTACGACAAGCAACAATGTTAAATGATGTCGTAGGCTTCCGCGGCCAGAGTCATGATCTGGGCTGTCTGGGTGACGTCGGCACATCAACCATCGACGCGGCGTCACCCGGACAGCCCAGATCAAAGCAACAATGTTTTATTCAGAATTCTCAAAATATTGTTGATAGTGTATGCTAAGGGCATGCAGAAAAATACAACAAGCTCTAGGCCAAATAAATTTTCATTAAAAAAAAAAAAAAGATTCTGTATTATTTAATTGAAAATATGACTTCCTGAATATTAGTACAAATTTATGGATACTTTTCTTTGGAAGAAATTCCATATTTACATTGGATATTGTTTTGAAACACAAACTGCAGTCATATTGTAGAGTATTCACCATTAGATTGTAGAAGAGAGTGGAAGCGTATTCTATGTCAACAGCTGCATGTCAACAACCATGCGCATAGCAGGTGATAGACACATCCTGATCACAAGTTTTGTTTATCACCTTTTGCTAATGAAAAGGTACAGCAGCATTCACATATTGAAAATTAAAGATGGAGCAAAGAAATGAAAAGTGCAGTTGTTTCCTCACAATTCTGTCTAATTGAGGGTTAAACTTCTTTATATATCCCCTGGGAAGGATTGCAAGGTATCTCAGCAGTGGTGTAATGTTTGGACTCGCAAGGCCTGCGATGCGAATGGCCTGGGTAAAAGAGGGCTTACTTTTAGAGGATATTTTTTATTATTTAAGTTCCTAGTACTACTTGCATTTGCTATACACTTTTATGAAGATAAAGGTTTTGCAGGTGAGCCTGCACTCCTTTCATTATGTTACTGTATCTCAGACTGTAGATTGAAAATGAACATCTATTTAAAATACTTGCATTCTGTGTATTGTTTCAGGATGTTTTTAAACAGAAGGCTGCAACAAAAATTAGCAAAACAAAAACTCGCCAAGATGTTACATCATTGAAACTTCGACATGCAGGTGTACTTGGCTTATGTGCATTTATTAATGCTTATCCATATGATGTTCCTGAATTTATTCCAGATTTATTTGTTATTCTGGGACAACATCTGAATGACCCACAGCCAGTACCAGTGAGTTAATATTAATGTTTATATTTTCATATTTTGATTCAACCACTTGAATGTCACTAGGTTCTGTTGGTTGGTAGGAAAAAGGATCTCATTTCATTTTACTGTGGGTGGGCATATGTTCCTGCTTTTGCTTATTTTAACATTTTCTTTTGACATTTGAAAAAGCCATTAGTGAAATTCGGTAGTTGTTTACGCAGAAAGTTACTAATATAGGTGCAGCTCAGGAATGACCCCCCTGAAGGTTCATGCACACGCTTATTAGCACTTTTCTTTAAACTTCTATCCTTTAATTTTGTAATTGCGTCAAAAGGATAACAACTAGTTTGATATAAACTCATCCAGAATTTCTAACCACTTGTCCACTAAAAATTTAGAAAGTTTAAATTTTACATCTACTTAAATTAGAGCCGTTAAATAGGGCACATACAGTGCATGCTCGGAGCTAGCGTGTGCTCTGTAGGGCATGCCATGCCTGTGCCGAGGAGAAGTAAGCACAGTGATTTCATACGGCTTCATAGCAGGAAGTCCTAGAGGGATGCAAAAAGACATAAAGTAAGCTTCAGGAGGCTGTAGATATCTTGTGGACGAACACAGAGGGGACACGATTTGTTTAATATACAGAAAACTTCTCATAACTGAAAGGAGTAGTATTATCTTTGGAGCACCAACTATATGAACTTAATCCCATACTATCGTTTCATTAGTTGCATCTCTGAAATTCCCTGCTTCTAGGGGTCTTTTTGTCTGTCACAAACAGATTTGAATTAAATGAAGTAATTCTTGTATTGGCTGCATAAGAATATTTTGTGGAGATTACTACATAGCTTTTATGCTACTATTTGCTGTTTGTTGAAAATCTACTATATATATATATATTTTTTATGTATATTTCTTTGTTTTGTTCATTACAGGCAAACACCCAATACAATATTATAAATTCATACTAAACTTTTCCGTGAATTGAGATTATAGTCTGCATTTGGATGAATTATCTGTTTAGTTGTGCCTGAAATCTAAAGCTATTGCTTTGAATTATTGTTTTACTGTTTTTTATGAATTAATACTTTTTATCAAAGCATTGCTATTATTTTGCCTAATTACTGCATCAAATGATTATTTCTTGGTGGTTTTCACTAACCTTTTTATTTTGTTTCAGTCCACAATAAGGAAGACTCTTGGAGATTTCAAAAGGACCCATCATGACAATTGGGCTCAACACAGTCTTAAGTTCACTGAAGCACAATTGACCGTCCTGGGGGACCTAGCTATTCCTCCTTCTTACTATGCCTAAGGATAGGAAGTGCTTCTTGTCAATTTTGTAACATGCTACATTGAAAAGTGTTTGTGAAAATGTAATGTTACACTTGTTAGTATGTAATTAAACTGAAGTATTGTTATTGTTATTATTATTATAATTATTATTATCATATTAGTAATAATTAAGAATAATAAAACAGGAATTTTTAACAATATTTTTCTGAAGTTGATGAGAACTTTAATATTAGATGTATATCACATACTGCAATTGACCATTCTCTTTATTGTGATAATTTTGTGTAGTTTACACAAAATGTGATGAAGATAATGCATTAGTTTTGATGGTATTATGGTAAACCACCAAAGAAATTAAAAGTGTGTTACATAAGACTCCACTGGCAATAAACTTGTGACATGGTTTTCACTTCCATCTAATTTTGTATTGGTACATAATTTCTATATAATATTTTTTTTATAAAATGCCAGGTTTTTGTTTATATAGTTCAAGTGGTATTTATTTTACAAATTTAAATTGTTGTAATGGGGCAAATGATGTGTTTGAAATGTTCACTAAATATTGATTTCCAATATTACTTTCTTTTTAGCTTTTCTTCAAAAAAAAAGAAAAAAACAATTTATTTTGTGGGAAAATGCAATGTTTTTGAGAATTTGGGTATTGAAGGTGATTGTATTCAGATGAAATGAAATGTGAAAAAATAATGCTTGTTTATTGAATCTTTCTCCTTGTTCTGTGCATTTCGTAAAAGATAAGAAACAGTCTCTTTCCACTTTTAATAAGCTTATAAAAGGCAAGGCACTTCAACATTTTTCTTTTACATTGTGTACTCATTTGTACAACAATTCCTTGTTGATAAACACTTTCTTGTGAATAATTACAGCAAAAAAATTAAAATTTCACACCTAAAATGAATTGAACAAGATATTTTTTTAAACAATTAGATTGTTTAAATATATGAAACTTTTCTAATTATTTTTAGCCTCTGGTTAATTATCATTTTATTTAACAGTAGTTGATGAATGAAAACACCATTTCTTGTTCAAATTTATCATCTTGAAAGAAAACTTCCCCACTATCCTGTAATTAATGGAGAAACCTTCACAAAACTAAATGTCATCAGAAAATTTTAATTAACAATTTAAAAATTAAGTTTCATATTTCACAATGACTTAAATAGTTCTCTATTTTGAAATGTATCTGAGAGATAACCTCGCACAGTAGTGAGATTGTTGCTGGAATGATACATGTTAGAATTTCCCAATACTTGTCACAAGTTTATTTCTTATGGATAGTGTTGTAACTAGTTTTGTTTCCTGGTAATTTTTATGAAGGCAAACATGCTCTGAAGCCACCTCATTTTGAGATGCAGCAAATTTGAACTAATTAAGCAACTTGTTGATGTGTCATGGAGACTTTAGTGTTTTTATTTTAAATATTTAATACTTGTTTATTTTCATTTATATTTATCTGTAGAGCTGTTAAAGGCTGCTAATGTGTTCAGATGAGTGTCTTTGGTTCCTTATTTCTTGTGCATTACATTATATGCTACATGCATGTGACATATTGAATTATTGAACAGTAACTATTTTGATTTACATTAATTATGTAAGAGAAATAAAAAAAATTGCTAACCACATTAAGCAAGATACTGAGAAAATTGGATGATTTTGGAGATAGGTGGAAATTAATAGATACTGTAGCAAGATTGTGGCGAATTTCAGCATAAGACTGTGATCTCTTACTAATAATTAAAAAGCACTTGAAGTCGTTTTGTGATCTTAAGATTTTAAACATTTTCTTTTTCAGAATATGACATCTTATCTAAAGTTAATTCATGTTATAAAAGTTTGGAAAGCTATTTTAATCCTAGTATTGTTATATTCCTTTGTGTGTATAAGTGATTATTTGTACCAACTGAAGTTGGGAATACTACATACAAAATAGTTGTCGTAAACATTATACTAGAATTTCCTAACTGAATGAGAGCTACTTACAAATCATACTTTACAAAGGTCATCTGAAGATTTAAATATTTATTTTAGATTTTCTATATATTTCAAAACTTAAATTTATGTATGTATTTTTTTGGCAGTCCTAGATATTATCATTCTCAGTCAGTTGTCCTAGTGAGTAAGATGACTGTGATGCTCTCTCTGGTTTTTTGAAGCACTACTTGCGTTGTTACTGGGTTGTCTGTCAAACGATTGTGTCTGCTGAGTGTTCTCAGGGAATGGTGTCATCTGAGTGATTATAGAACAGCATAGAATGTTCTCTGTGAGTGAAGTTCTTTATTTAATTTTATTTATTGTATGATGTGTAAGATTAGATGGATGATTGTGGTTCTTCTACCTCAATTGTAATCCATTGTATTATTAATGAGAGAATGTGTTGGATATCCTGGCCCCCTTATTAAAAAACTGTTTAATTTATTGCAGACTTTCTTGAGGAATCCTGAAAGTAGTACAAATACAATTACAGGATAGATGTTGTGACTCAGGAAAAGGTGGGGACCATGAATACCAATTTCAGTGTTTCATAGCAGTCGGCGAAAACTTTAGTGCAAATCACTTTCTCTTCTTAAAATGGGTAGAGAATTGGTATTGAAACAATAATGAAGGAATAGCGATCAATGGAAGCAAATGTATGATAAATGTGTTGGTTATATGGAATTAAAATTGGAAGGTGGTCAGGACCCAGATGATGACCTTAAGTTGAGTGCTTCAAGTTCTGTACAAATGGACCAGCAAACAAACTTTGATTCCAAGTTTGGAATTGGGTTGGGAATCACAATTTGACTGAGAAAAATTTTAAAAAATGTAACATGCCATTGCTACTGCTAAAGAAGTGTTCAAGATATCTAGATTTTTTTTTTTTTTTTTTTTTTTTTTTTTTGTGGGATTTTAGTTCTATATTTCATTTCTGCAGAAACATCGTAAATCATCACTTTTTTTGTGATTTATTGATTCCTAGTTGTTGAATATAGGTGGATGAAGTTAACCATGCTGTATCTTGAAACTTGGAAGTTTAGAAAATTGTTCATTGTCATACTTGGATTGTTGCATTAATTTTGTGGCCAGATGCATACTTTAAAATTTCCCTTTTTGTGTGATAGTTTGCATTCTCACAATGATTTTACAGTAACACAAATGTTGTGTTTAACTGCCTAATCCTCATACATCACCTTAACTGCGTAGGCTGGCCCTTATATTGAAGTAGCGTTGACACATTAGATTTTATATTTTTTTATATTTTCTTCCATATTTGTTAGTCATAAGAGCATGAATCAAAACGGTTTGTGTTTCCATTCCCATTATGTAGAGTAGAAAGATGTGGTGGAAATAAGTTATTTATCAAATGGCCTTGAGATTGTGTACATATGAAAGAACAATGTTGCATTGTTCTGAAGCGTATATCAATTGTATTGCTGTGTACATTGTTGTAACCTGTGTGAAGGGACAAATTAATGTGTATATTTGTATTAATTGTTTCTCTGTGGTCTTTTTGCTCTTTCACCATGATTAATTGCTTTTTTGTTATTTATCTATGCTGTTTCTTTTGTGCAAGGTTGGTATAAAAAGCAATGATCACTGGTTATTATGACAAAAATATATCAAAGACTGAGAAAGGCAATGTGTCATTATAAAACTGTAAATATTTCCATATATTTCAATGAGAAGCTTCTGATTAAGGAAGCTTTTCATCAGCATTTTCATAGTTGTACCCTGATCGTTGAAATTTTCATTTTTGATGTGGAGACAACTACGCACAACTTCTTAGAGTATTTGTAACCTACAAAGTCTCCATAGCAACATGCCACGTACTACTGAATATTACTAAGTGGTACTAATCAAAAAGGTTCAGACCTATGGGGAAAGTTTGAATTATGGAGCATTGAATGATTGTATTTCTTTCAAAGTATATTTTTAAATATTTGATAAGCTGTTAAGCATTTAATTTCTTTCATGATATCAGGTTACATATTGATTTTACATTGTTCAAAAGAATTTGTAATTTCAGGTTTTAGTAATTAATCATGAATTACTAATTTTGAAATCTGGCAAGTTTTATTCTGATGAAACTACAATACTCTTATTATAGTTTTTGCTCATATTAGTTTAATATATAGAAATTTTCCTTTCCAGACTTCTAACTTGTGAAGACAAACAATATTCGTTTAGGTTGCCTGTGATTATTACTTCTGATACGAACCCTGTTCTATCTTTTTTAATTTTAATTTTTTTCTCTTGTGTTCTCATGGTCCAGGCATTGTAAATTTAGAATTGAACTGGGTCATTGATTGACAAGGAATTTGGTGCAAAAATAAATAATTCATATTTGTAAACATTCAGATGTGTTGATTGGTATGATGCATTGTTACTAGAAACACGTAACAAAATCCTAATGTTGAAAACTTTAAATCGTTTAACAAATGTAAGGATATTACTTGGAACTGGTCAGGCTCTGTGGGTGAAACATTTATTAAAATGCTTTCTTCTGTTCCATCATAAAACAAACAAAAATAAATAGATTGTAAATAGAAAATATCAGAAAGCTTTTAATTGTGTGTGATTTTTCAACTGGCTATGTGTGAACATCGTTTTACGTTTTGTATCGGTTGTATTAGACCATTTTCAATGGAAAAACTTCATGTCATCAGGTTTTAGTATTTTCTTTTTATTGTTCTTATTTAAATAAAATGAGTTAGTATTTGGTCTGAAATGTGCTGTGTAAGTTCACTATTTCATGAGGCATGAAATTATTAAAATCAAATTGTAATGATGCTATTAGGACCAGAAAGTATTGTAGGTGAAGACTTTATAATTTTGGTGTTACTATTGAGAAAGAAATGTCATCAAAGTCTAGGTTAAGGAATGCCTTTTACCCAGCCTAAAAAAAGCCAGTGAAGTGTGGGAAACATTAAACAGAAAAAGTAGATTAGGTAGATTTTCATGCCTGTTAGTTGAATGTTTTAGGATTTTTTTTTTTTTTTTTTTTTTTTTTTTTTTTTTTTTTTTTTTTTTTTTCCAAATGGTATTTAAGAAGACAGGACAAATTTTGCCTTGAATAAAAAGAGCAATTAGTAATGATCTCATTTGAAGGTCTTTCATATTTGTCTTTGATGGTACCTCTGTTGCAGATTGTAACAATTTTTTTTGTAATCTTAATGGTGTGGTGAAAAGGAAAAATATGACCATATGTATATTTTTATCCCAATAAAAAATTCAGAATGTGCAAATACTGAGCAACAATTCAACAATGTTCCCAGAAACAGCTGTGAACGTTGCTTTAAAAAACAAAATCTAGGGTTGACAAAAATTAAAATAATTAATCCTAATATGATTTTAAAACTTTATATGAACAAGTTTATAAATCAACTAGTAATGAAGTTCAAGAATTTCGTATTTTAATGTCGTTTCAAGAAGGTGCATATTGGGTTCCTCCTTTTGGACAGTTTTATTTTTTCCTTATTTTTGGACAGTTCCATTTTAGTATTCTTTTGTTGTAAGGTTTATTTTTGTTTTCAATTATTTAGTTAATTATACTGCTGCTAAATTTTTGTTTTCGAATGGACGGTTAAAGTGACTTCTCGAATTTTTTGTCTCGTCGGTATTTGAAAACGTTTCTCCATTTGAAGAGTTTCCTTTTCTACTGTCACTTCTTTTTTATTTAATACATTGTATGGCATTCTGAATTGAAATCTGGATTTTTTCTGTATTTACGGCGATACACATTTTCTGCCGATAGTAGGGGCAGCGGTAGGGGGTGTAGCCAGAGGCGGGATTTCGGATCTTCTATTGGGGAAGAGGCAAAGGGTCCTCCCGCAGAAGATGGTAAAAAGTTCCCCTCATCCAAATGTCATATGAGTAGTTACACTATAATCTATGATCAGATTTAGAGAATGTATTGTACGTAGGCTACAGAGAGCACGAGACCACCGCATCCTCACAGCCTCCCGTTGCCCGCCGTGCCGCGCGGAAAGCGACGAGGTTCAACAGTCGCGTGCGCTTTGTCGCTAACGAAAGGATCTCGTATGTTATTGGGCGAGAATGGGGCTTTCAACAGTGCACGAGGCCAATGCCAGATTGCCAAGGGTGCTAAGACTGCATTATGATACTTCGAAACAATGGGCAATGCAGGTAATGAAGAATGTTCGAAGTAAACAATTGAAAATTATTGATTTTTAAAAGGCAAATATCGATATTGACATTTTTAGTTCCTGCTGTTAATGTATTTTCTGTATATCTATATATTAATAAAATCAATCGTTGTGGAGAAATTCTATTTAATTTTGACATCCTCAGATATATTGAACTTCCGATATAGTGACCTAAAAATGTCAGTCGCCAGTAGTTCTCTATAACCGGAGGCATCTTACATTACCGGAGGTATCCTACACTATAATGGAAAAATATACGCACAAAATATGACAAAAAAGAGTTTTATTCAAAGCTATTCGTATATTTTCACTTTCTCACTTTTGAAAAATTGTAAACGCGGTTTTTGGGCGCTAACACCCTACGAGTATGTTCATACTAGAATTGCGGGATTAGAGAAAAGTTAGTCACTCCACTCGGTGACTTTTTTGAATCCGTACGTTTCGCAGTGTTGGCAAATTTCTTCTTTTGAAGATCCGCTAAAGAAAAACTTTTTACATGGACAACGACCTAAAGTTTTCTGTTTGCCGTCTATGCTTCCATAGATTACAAGTTATGCTGGAAAACATTTTTATCGCATCGCGGACCCACGAAACGATGTTCCGTGACAAGCACATATTTTTAGGCATTTGAAGTATCAAAAACACTAGGGAATTTGTAATAGAAATAATTTTTTGATCATAATACGTAGGGGCCTTGCAATTCTAAACAATGATACATTACAATAAAATAAGCTTTCAGACTATTGCATTCAATTATATGGCAGGTACAGGTGGTGGGAATAGTTACAATTTAGTACAGCTCCCATTTTGTACGCTTTTTTGCTAATATACACTAAAATGCACATAAAATATCACCCGTATGGTGTTCTTCAGCGTTTTTCTCTAATAAGATCATTTTCAATTACTTCCGAAAATTCTGTCCCAAAGTCTACAACTATATTTCATTCTTCCCTTGATTTGTTTTCCACTCCCTAATTTTTGAAAGGATTAAATCTACAAACTCAATTTAATTTGTATTAACTTTTACTTCTGAAATTTCTCTATTAATCCTTTGGTAGGCAAATATATGTAGACATCAAAAGACGACTTTTTTGTGTGTTTATGTGAATAAGGTGTTAGTCACATTCATTTGAAAATCGGCATTTGCACGCTTAAGAAGTTAACTGTGAGAAGTCGAACGCAATAAGTTAAATGTGCTTTAATTTTGTAGCATTACTCACAGTTTGGTTTTCTCCGCATTCACTTGAAGTTCAAGCCACCAAACCACGTGTTTGGAAATTTCTTTAAATCTTCTGGTTGGATCCGAACACAAAATATCAGTTCCCCATCAGAAGACCAAGGTGCGTCGAATAACACCTTATATGTCTCGATTGGTGCATGGGAAGTGGTCTAACCGTGAGTGACGGATCTATACGGATACTACATGAAGAGCTTCTCCAGAATATTATGCAATATCTCAGGCGGGAATGTACATTTGAAAAATACAAGCACCGAGCTGCATGAAGGCTGAGAGATTATGAAAGACTTCTGAATGCGTAACACAATCAACTTAATTTAGTGTTTAATTCTGTTATTTGTAAATTCAATTTGAGGTTTGACTGAACAGAGAGACCTAGAAATTTTGTCACGTCAGACTTGTTACGGGATTCTGACAACTCAAAAAAAACAACAACAAACAAACAGTATCACGAGGGGCTCCCGATTTTTAAAAAAAGGGAAGCTGGTGGCGCAATTCTGGTTTCAGGTCGCCTAAACTATCTTCTGAAAACTATTTTTTTCATTTATTTATAGTCACATCGAATGCTGGGTCATTAGAGACTTTAGTTACATTTTACAGGTACAAACTTCAAAAAATGATTTACAACTATTTCTTATATAGAGTTTAGCACGCCAATTCGTTTAAAAAAAATTATAACATCGGACACACTTTCGATGTCGTTCAAACAGTTCTTGATGTTCTCAGGCCATCCAGTTCTTTCAAATTGGTAACCATTATATTCTGTTAATATGTGGAAAATAGTGATTGCAGTTCCACATTTAGGACATTTGTTTATAGGTGTTTTCGACATGAGACGAAAGTGTATTAAGTTGGAGAGACATATTCTTAGTCTGGTCAAAATACATTGAATCTTCCTGTTCTTGATGCATGGTTGATGCATAGATTGTTACGGACCAAGAGTAGTTTTGACTTTGAGTTTTCCCAGATCATGTTCCATTTTTGCCAGATGCATTGGTTTATAGTCCTTTTTTGTTCTTCCACAGTAATTGGCCCTTTTGTACAAACGATTCCTTGAGAAATGACTTTTTTTGCTATTGGGTCTACTTTTTTAATTTACTAATATTGGAAGCCTTGCCAAGACTATTTTGATCTTGCGTTCCATCACATGTCAAATCAAAAATGAAACTCAATTTTATCTGCGCTCGACTGCGATATTTATGCTGTCGCGGTGCATATCACGTTCAGTTATTTTAGGATTGTTATTGCCTAATGCTGGGAGTAGAGATGGGATGGATAATGCTGGGAGGGGAGCGGGAGATAGCCACTTGGGGTAGGTAAAGGGAAGTTGCAGTTCCATAAGTCAATCGATAGATCACACAAGATCTGTTCTTAAAGTGTGTTCTTTTACTACTCAGCGATGTCTATTAAGAAGTTCGTTAATTCACCAAACCTTTTTTGTTAGGTGTGTGGCGAGTTTACGACTAAGTCTCAAAGACATCCATTTCTCCAATCGTCAAAAAAGCGTACGAGTTTGATTTCGAATCAAAAGTAGATGAGAGTGAGTGTCGGGCACCACAAAACTGTTGCTAACGTTGCTCCCGCTACTTGAGAGGCTGGTTACATGCAACTCACCTACGTATGCCATTTGCGATACACGGTTGTGGAGGGAACGTAGAGATCGCATTACAGATGGATGCTTTTGTTTAACGAAAGTAACAGGAATCTCAAGTAAATCAAAACACACAGTTCTTATCCAAATTTGGAATCTTCAATGCGCCCAGTTCTGATTTTCTCTCTGTTACAAAACCACCAACGGAATGGACACTAGAACATTAAACATACATTTTGGGAGGGTAAATGATATCGAAAAGGGGGTTTTCCCCAAAAACATATTCCTGTGAACAGTAATATCTAAAGAAGTCTAAATTGTACAGACGATTTTCATTTCTAGACATTCCCCAATCGAACTCGCTGCCCTTTGAATTTAAAACGAATCATAAATTTTGAGATACTTTAAATGAAGCCTCTAGGACATTTCTCCAAAATGGCTTCAATTTTTCCCTACTTTTTTAAATCTAATAGTGCAAAGAAATCATATAAAATTTTGGATGTCCGATTTTCAGTTAAACATCTGAAATTTTGAAAATGCAATGGTTTGAAAGTTTTTGGACCTCCTCCGACAACTACATTGTTGCATATAAAATATTTTTATCTTATCTTTATGAACTCTATTCTTAAACTTTAGAGTTAAGAAACCATGAAGCCTTGGACTTCCGCAAGTTGGAATATGAGGTGAAAAAGTAATTCTTACACGCCTCCATATCGAACACACACTTTTTATTGGGATACCACCTCCCCAATGACTTGCCTCCCATGTGTGATCGGTGTGGAACGATCTTGACTGTGAATCGCATTTCATTACATTGTATAAAGCAAAGAACGACTTGATAGAATTGCCGCCTTGCACCATCTCTGAAAGACACTCGCAAATGACGAGTCCTCTCGCTCCAGACTTTTGTACAACCGATAAACATTTCATCACCTCATGTGGGAATATGCGGTCACTAATAACCCAAAAGGTTGATGCGACCGAAATCAAATTATGTATCTATCATATGAGTATAGGATATGGTGTTCCAACGGTTTTCCTTTTTCAGTCTGTTGAACGGTCCTACCCAATTCTTGGTCAGCCATAATCATTCTCACGTAGCTAGTCATTTGATGTGTGATGTGTCTCATGAATGTTTTATTCTAGTTTTAAGAGACTTTAGTCACTAGTGACTACGTCACTATTTTTAGGTGGGCCTAGAGAAAGGTTTGGAGCAATTTTACTTTAATGCAAATGACCTTTGATGTTGAA